CAATTGATCAGCTTTTGTTTAAAGGAGCAGTTTTGAAAATTCCTCAGTTCGTGCCTACTAAACACATTCCACAGGAGGAGTGGATACTGGGATCCCCCAGGTCTCTAGAAAGGCCAGATTTCTGCCTGGTGTGTGTGTGAACTTGTTCTCTAAGCCACCTGCCATAGCTCTTTTCTGTATGCATCCTACTTGGGCCACTGATCATGAGTTGAGGACAGCAGATCTCCCACCAGCCGTGCTTTACGTGGGGTGTTGATATCTGTGGCCTTCAAGAAGAACAGAGGCCAAGAGGCTGACATACAGACCAGCAGGTAGGCAAGCACAGCTCATCCTTCTGGACAGTGGAACTGGAAAACGGATCTGGGCAACAGATGCATTTGTTGCAAGGACATGTAGATTTTTCTCTTGACTAGGATTTGATGTCTTTTTTGATGTGACTGTTCAGGGTAAACCTCTCTGAGATGTGGAGGACCCATTCATATGTGTGACTTTTTTCATATATCTAAGCTTTTCAGGTTATTCCTGTGTGCTGTTAGTGATGAACAGTGCAGAGTTTGTTGAATTTATCCCATGCATTGTACTTTTTCAAGACAGCAGTATAGTTTAGGAGAATTTAAGGAGTATGGGTGAGAATGCAAGTTTGATTTGTATCGTGCTATTCTAGCCACACATGCTGGAATTAGTTAGAATGCTTATGATAAAGCAGCCACTGAACTCAGTGTAATGTTCTGAAAAATATAATAATATTTCAGGCTAAAGCAGCATGTGCAACTAGCTATTAAAAAGCAGAGGGTGATCTTTTTGTAAACTGAATTCTCTTTATTTTTATAGAGAGTTTCTGTTTTTTTGTGGTTATACCTGCATTTAGTGATACATATTAGTTGATACATCATTTAGTTTACATATTTAATCCAGATCCTTGGAGCTAGATGAAGATATGTTAGTGCCTAGTGTGTCTGCCCAGAGGATTATTTTTACACTGATTATACAAAGAAAATCAAAACAAAATTTTTCCCTTTTTACTCCATGATTGTTCCATTGTTTTACTGTTGAATTAATGAATGTTCAGTGCAAAAATTACAACAGAAATGTTAGATGCCACTGAAAGGGAAACTAGTGTGTTTTATAGATAGTTTGGTTTTTCTTGTTCCTTTGTGATTATGAAATGCTGTATATTCAGGAGGGTGAGAGAAAATGCTAACAGCAGCTCAACCAGGACACAGACTCGTTTTAGTCACTGGTCTTTGTGCAGATGCCTGCTCTTGAATTCGCTCCCTTTCTGTTGGTTTGCAGTGTTTCAGAGTCCCAGAATATGTGGCCTCAGTTACATGGGTATATTCTGTGAGAATTAATAGTGCCAGTGGAACTCAGAGTTGATAAATGCTACTATTACTGTACAATTACATATTAAATGTTACCTGCATTACCCTCTCAGGCCAGCACACTGCACTCCCAGGAAAGAAAACCATAACATGACTTGAAGAAAATGAGAACATATTTAAATAGGATGTCTCCTGGATAGTCTAGGGAGAGATTAAACGGGATTTCAGCCTAAGTCTTGTGTAGGTAGATATGCCTGTGAAGAATTAACAAAATGGGAGATGTAAAGCAATTTGCTTAGCTTGCCATTTTTCCCCCAGTTGGTAGAATCTGGAATATCATTTCTAATATAATGCTGTTTGAATATTGTTCTCGTTTTTAGTTTGCTTTTAGTTTCTTTGAGAAAATAATTCCAAGGCTTGCTTTCTTTTCCTGTTGCTGTTTCTTTCAGCAGTGTCTAACTGGTTGACTTACGAGAGGAAAAAGTGCTGTGAAATGCAGTGCATAAATAAACAAAAGTAGTAAGGCTTTTTATGAGTTTTCTCCCTGCTAATTTCTTCTGGTGATTATTTATAACTATATGAAAGCAGTATCTATCTGCACGAGTACATAGAAGACACAGCTGATTTAGTTGTGCATATGAAGAAAGGGAAATATACAGAATAATTCTCTTTTTAATTTCTGATTGAAATCCACTGTGCGTTGTAGTTCTCCTGTTAGTAATGCACAGACAAAAGAGCAGGCTGTCAGCATTTCCTTAATTCGTATTTCAGAGGGTAAACATGTAGAACATGTATATGCACAGATGAGTGTACATTGGTTGTAATGTGTAGTGATATAGTAAAGCTCCTGATAGAGTGAAGCAAAAGGAAATCCCAACAGTATTACAATGCGTACGTTGTGTTTACAATTGGAGTAAACCTTTTTTAATCTGTGAAATGAGCACTTGTTGTTTGTAGGCACACAAAATACAGTGTGAACACCATCATTTCTAGGGAAAGCAAGGAGTTGTACTTAAGAGGCTGTAAGACGCATGCCATGTGAAGGAGGTAACCAGAGCACAGCTGGCTTTGAGAGTCAGGCTAGAAGGCAGGACATTCTCTGTATGAAAGATTAGGCTTACACCAGATTCTCAGTACAGGTGGAAGAAAGCCTTTCTTTATAGAAACAGAGCAGTTTGAGTTGATAGGCTTGATTGTGGAAGCTAAGTATTGATTATCTTTTTTTAATTTATTATTTATAATTTAGGAAGTTGTTGTTTATTTTACTATACGTTATCTTTCAAAAATACTATTCATAAAAGATAATTGAGCAATGTCTGGAATATAGATTTACAGAATTTTTTATCCATCGTAGGAAAAAAATATATGAAGAAAAGGAAATGGATTCCATTTTGACCTGTTCAACCTGATGTATGTTTTAGAAAACAGTCCATTCTTGGGAGCTCAATTTGTACTGATAATCATAAAAATGATTTTGAGGAGGGAAGAAATGTGTCAGAAGCACTTTCTGGAAAATGTAATTAGCAAGACTAAATACCACTTCTCCTCAAAAATCAAATCATAGCAAAGCACCCTGCAGAGAGAACTGTTTCTAGACGACTGCCAGAGTCCAGGCAAGGAATATACAGATGTCTGTCTGAATGGGGAAAGATGTAGTTAAGTTCACACATATCTTTATTGTATGAACAAAATTTTTTAAATTCATGTGTGTGTTTTCAGTGCAGTGCTTTGAGGAATAAAAAATGTTTTGCCAATTCAGTACCTGCAGCAGAAAGTACTTAGTAAAAAATGTGTAATAAATTGCATCTTAGAACTCAGGATCCTGATATACTTTCTTTGACTTGAAAGACAAAATGAGGCTAATTGTGAATTATTTGAAGCTATTGTAAGCTGCATCAAATTTCTTTTTTTAGGTGTTTTGGTGAATAACAACAGGAGCTGCTACATAGGATGTGTTATTAATACTATTTATGTCCTTAGGAGCACAGAAACATGAGAAAAAGAAATATGATTGGTTATATTTTGCTGGTATAGTGTTATTTAAACTTTTTCGTTTAAGACAGTGAGTCCCACCTGTTTTTTTTTTTAATGAACCATACCTTAGGAAAGACCATAAAAAAGATTGAAAGAATGTAGAATATATGAATAACACAGCAACCTCACTGATGATATGTTAAAAAGCTGTGTTTCCTTAATAGAAGAGTAAGCATATCATTATTTGAAATTTGAAAGTTGTGAAGTTTTAAAAGTAGTAAAAAACAAATCAGATTCCATCATGGGTGTGCTTTGCTTCTTAATTAAAAGATTAAAAGATTATCAGTGACATTTACATTGTTTTCACTGTTCGTTTCCATTCCACTTCCACCAGCAGCTCTCACAAAGGAAGAATGAGAAAATGCATTTCTGTATTACGTTCTGAAGAGGTATAAAGTGAGAGTTCAGAAAAAGGAGGATACCACATTTGAACATAAATTAATCTGTAGATTGTTAGATTTTTTTCACTGTAGATATTGGCACTTGGTATTCCTTGAAGCAAGATTTTTGATTGTTTTTCCCAGCACCTTTACAGACCTGAAGATGATAGAAAACACCATTATTGTCGTGTGTCCTTACTTATCAAGTGTAGTTTCCTGAAACTAAAATTACCTTCACAACAACTTTCTAATAGAGGCAGGTTTATTTTTGCTTGGATGTTTGAAGTAATTACATAAATAGCAAACATTTTTGTCTCTACAATTGGATTTTGCAACTCAGTGATGTATTATTAAATGCACTTGGCAGTTATGGTACAACCTCTGAACAGTTCTGAAAGGGAGTTTGGGAATATTCCTAGATGTAGTGTAGAAGGGGGGTGATTTTTTCCCACCAGCTGACTTACTGGATGAAATGCAACAGGATTTCTTTACTTCAGATACTTGTGCCTGAGTCTTCTAGCAGTGAGAAAATAGTTTGTGAAAGCCAGAATGTGTAAATTGCATACTTGTTGCAGAGATCATCAGAATATTTTATTCTTTATATAAAGTCTAATGTTGTTCTGGAGAGAAGAGGATTCATGATTTGGTTATCAACACATACGGATTCTTCACTGATTTTATTAAATAGTGGACTGGACAATTAATGTGTCAAGAATGTGCAGCGTAAGTATTTTGATATCTTAGGCTGCTGTGCTGTGTGCTCACCTGACTCGCACAAAAAACTAAAGATTTTTGCTTTTCTTACAGTCCTCTTGTCAGTGTAAAAGTGCATGAGCTATGCTGTTCTTGAGTACCAATGTGGTATTCTTCCATAAGGGAGAGTGTTTGAAATAGTTATAGTGAGAAACTGGAATTCAGGAATTGACATTTTTCCAGGTTTTTAAGTAATGAATATTTATATATATATTTTTTTAATCAGCATATCACTGGAAACACATCTCACAAGAGAAAATTAACTGAGGTTCTGACTTATGCCTGAACATAACCTGAGCTCTAAATGTTATGGTTAAGAAACTCTTGTAGATTAGACCTTATCTTAAAATTGCCTTCCGTCTTGTATGAAGTCAATTATGAGTTGGGATGTTATCTTTAGCAGCTCAGTGCAATTTTCAAATATATCACTACTTAAGTTTTACAGTTCTTAGGTTTCTGGAGGCATGGAGAATAAAAGTAATTCTGAACAAAATTATTTTCTTTATTTTAGGTTCACTGATAAGATGCAAACCAGAATCAGCCTATTGGTAGTCTTTCCAGACATGATTCAGAGCTAACAAGGGAGATTGAGAAGTACCATGACTCCAAACAGAACCATTTTGGTAAGTCAGTCACCTAAGTCTGTTAAGAGCATGGTCCTTCACATGAACAGATTTTTGTTCTGCTCATTCATAGTTAAAATATACTTTTAAGAAACATTGCTAAAAGCACAAGCCATTTACATTTTGTAGAGTGTTCATGCTGCCAGAAAACTGGAGAATAAAAACCAGCACATTCCTGCAAGATAGCATAGAATCATAGAATCATGAAGGTTGAAGTGACCACTAGCATCATCTAGTCCAACTGTCAACCCGTCACCATAAACCATGTCACTCAATGCAACATCTGCCCTTTCCTTGAAAACCTCCAGGGGTGGTGACTCCCACCTCCCTGAGCAGCCTGTTGAGAAATTTTTCCTAATATCCAACCTGAATCTCCCCTGATACAGCTTAAAGCTGTTACCTCTTGTCCTATCGCAAGTCACGTGGGAGAAGAGGCCAATTCCCACCTCACTACAATCTTTCAGGTAGTTGTAGAGAGTAATAAGCCTGAGCCTCCTCTTCTCCAGACTGAACATTCCCAGTTCCCTGAGGTGCTTCTCGTAAGGCTTCTGCTCCAGACTCCTCCAGCTTTGTTGCCCTTTTCTGGACATACTCCAGGGCTTCAACGTCTTTCTTGTAGCAGGTGGCCTAAAGCTGAGCGCATTATTCAAGATGCAGCCTCACCAGTGCTGAGTACAGTTACACTTAATTAGAACATCCTGCCACATCCTAAACTTCGAGAAGACTTCACAGCACTTCAGCATTGTGTTCTGGTTTTGGTCAAATGAAACACAATGCTCTTTGTATCTACGTAGGTTCTGCATTCTTTCAGAATTAATTATTTGATGTTTCTGTTATATCTTTCTTGGTAAGCCTACATTCCTCTGTGTGTCAGGAAGAATAGTCTTATATTCAAACTCTACTGAATAACATCATCTGCTTTAGGGGTTTCTCATTGCATTCAGAACTGTGTATTGGCTGCTATACAGCAAATTTTAAATAAAGCTAGTTCCACAACAGAAACCTAATACTTATGTATTCACTATCTAAATATGCTTTACAGGCTCTTGATCTCCTTCCTGAACTCTTAAAAGCTTAATTTTTAATGTGGTAACCATATGGTTTTTAATACTATTAGTTCTTAAGTGTACAAGTGCTCTCATTCTAGCATGCACAGTTCCCTTACAAGATTTGATTGTGTTAATACAGCTAACAGTGTAGCTTGACTATATTAAAGCCTACTGATGTGTTTAAAAGGGATGGAGAGGTCACACTCTTTTCCCTTTACACTAGTTCTGATCTGTATTTTTACATACTTACATTAAAGTATATTACATAATATATACATGGATGATTAAAACAAAAAGCTATGCCACTTCTATGTCTCTGGAAGGTAGGATGCAAGTATGTATTCTGCATATGAACGTGTAGATATCACCTAAAGATAAATTGAGTATAGGTAGGTAGTTTCTTAGAAGATGCTTGAGTGTGAGCCCAGTTCTTTCAGCAAAATAGCCCTATCTAAGAAACATTTGGATAAATTCTTTCTTACTTTTCCTCTGTGCAGAACCCTTTTCCAGAATTTCTCTTCATCTCCTGTTTTGATAACTGCTACACTTCATTGGTGTTCTTTACCCACACTGGGCCCAAATAGCAAGTAGAAACTTCTGATTAAGGATTGCATCTTATTACTGACTTTTTTGTAAAAGAACAGATGAATGTCTAGAATTGTACCATTGTTAAGGCATGAGAGTTTCTTCCTACAATTCCTAGCCTTCTTGATTTTGTTTTAGTCACAATGTTCCCTAACTTTAGTGGACATTCTGTATCCTCTGAGCTGCTGTGCACATGGAGTTCCTTGCTTGTACATGCTTTATCTGTCTCAGTAGAGCCATGGAAAGCATCTTATGCACCTTAAAATGATTCTTCTTGCCAGTTGGAAGAGCGTACCTGACATACCCTAATCTGGGATGCAAGCTGAAGAACAGAGGCTAGCTAAGAAGAGGAATTTCCAAAATATTGTTGTATTTCTTGTGGTTCACACATGAGAAAAATACATTTGAGAAGTGCATTCAGTGCAAATACAGAGCCTGAGTTAGAATTGGAAGCATCTGTAATCCCTGTCTCAGTAAGGCACAGCTGCAGTAGCACAGTGAGTACTACTCTGTAGCACAGTGGTAGAGCTGTAGCTCTATTTCTGTAAGGGTACTACTGCAGCAAAATAAATTGGGCAACTCCTGATCTAAGGTATTACTATTCTATCATCATGATGCTCTTCTGTCAGCCACACATGAACATTACATTACTAGTGCATCAGAGAAAAGGTCATAGTTGCTTAAATAAATAACATTGGTATTTTGCAAATGAGCAATTAAGTTATGAAGCTTATTTTCATATCACTGCTGGCATTGATCCCACTTTGCATTATTTAACACCTAACACTCCAGAGTTTAACTCCTAACACTAGAATTCTTTTTGTCAAGTATGCAGTGTAACTTTGTTGTGGTAACATCTCTTGCGACCTCCTAAAGCACGGGCAGAGTTGGTAAGTGTAAAGTTCTGCACTTAACTACCATGTAATTAGCTTGGTTGTCTTCACAGCCTCTCTCTTTGCTCAATCCCTTCCTCTCTTGCACCATTCCTTCTGCAGTAGTTTCCTTTGATTCCTGACACAGAAGCCTGGTGTCACTGCAATGCATGCCTCTGCAGTAGCTGATTTCCATCTCAGCTGGCTTTTCCAAGACCCTGGAAACATTTGCTACCTTCTTTACCCCCTTATTCATATATCTGAAGTAGGACACTGCATGAGATAATTGGCTTGACCCATTACAGAAGTCACCACGGTGGAGAGTGGTAGGCCTAGCCTTTGAAGTGATAAAAACTAGTCAAGAAGTGATAATGTCCCTTTATGTTGCAGTTTATCAGAAGGGATTCCAGGGGGGAAAAAGTTAAAAAAGAAATCTTGTCAAACTCAGAATTTTTTTTAAATGCATGACTCAGTGTTTACTGTAAAGTTCTTTTTTTTTTTATTTTATTTTTTTTACTACAGACCGAACAAGGAAGGAAACAAAACATTTGAGCTCTCTGTGTAAAGACAGCTACTTTCTCTGTGCCTTTTTCTTTCCTATGTTTAATTCTCAATACCCTAGAGATACAGTTTCCTCCCTTAGCAGGGACTGTGACCTTAAAAATAGCCAGTTCCAAAATAAACACAGCAAAGAAAAAAGACAACAAAACACTTCAATTGTTTCACGTATATGGTAAGTACTCAAAACTGTGTCCTTGCTAAAGCTGAAATTCATAAACTTTTTGAAGCTTTTGTTTCTCTGAGAGATCTGTTAAAACCTTGGGTGCCATATGCCAGTGGTTTGTCTTTGTCCTTACCACTGCGGCAGTTTCAAGAGGACACACTTTGACTTTGGCTCAGTGCTGGGTGTGCTCATATCACACGGGAAAGGGGTGATCACAAGGCCTCCTCATGGGCACTTCTGTATGAACTTGTCTCATGCTAGTAAGCATCACTGCTGCTCAGGGCCAGCTGGATGACTCTTCAAACAAAAGCTTTTCCTATCACTTTTGCTTCTATTTTTAAAATTGTTCTATGTTGCATGAAAGAAGAGGTGGTCCCACCCAGGTTCCCTGTCTGGACTGGGGCTTTGATAGTCACTCTGTCCAGGCAGACTTCAGGGCTGTCTCATTGCCACCACTTCCTTCACTTCCATCTGCGATTGGACCAAAGTTTACAGTTTATACAAAAATCTTTTCTAGGGAAGGAACTTATCTAGTGGGGGAAAAAGCCTTTCCTAGCTCCCTGTTGTTAAAAGCTGTACTGATCATTCAGGAGCCCTCCAGTGGTGTGCAATGATAAGGACAAAAGGATAGGAGAAAGGACATTCAAGTCCACCAAATAAATCCCCTCTGACAAGCAAGAGGAATATTTTCCATCTGGACAGTGAGCTATTGTCCTTATGCTCTTGCATGGATAAGTTAGTCAGGTCTTACAAATGCAGCTCAGTGAGAAGTGTCTTCTATCTTTGTTAAGAAAGGCTGTTTAAAACCAGTGAAGATTCATGAGTAACAAGCTCTTGGATCTTCAAAAACATTTCAAGTAGTACTTGTGCAGGCTGTCACAAGATGCAAGCATTCCCTGTGCTTTTCAAGGCCTGAATTCATAGTGCAGGAGTGAGTTTTCTACCTCTTCCCACATGAATATGCCAAATCTGTGTAGCACAAAAAATATTTGGGCTCTCGAGTACTTTCCTCTGAATATAGTCTTAAATCTTTAATTTAATTAGAAAAAAAGTGCTGAAGCATTTTGAAGTTTGAGAGCAAGACTATGAAACTTTTCTGATTAATGCAGACAACTTGATTCTTTTAGGTGTAGGAGAAAGAGAAACAGCCAGCAAATGAGCTGGGGAAGCAGCAAACGAACATTTTGTGTACTTTTCCATCTAAGATGTAATAGTTTCTGAAGGTTTTTTAATCCATCATGTTAGCCTAATCCCCAGGGAGCTCATTTTGAAATTAAATATACCAAAGCATTTATGATTTACAAAGAGGGAAAAAATACAAGCCTTAAAAAATATCATGTGTTTGATCTGTTTGTCGCTATGAAAATATTGACAAAAGGCAAAAGAATGGCCTTCATTTAGATTATTATTCTTGGCTTGCTTTAATGCTTTCTTATTAAGGGCAAACTCCCATTTAGATGTGAGATTAACTCTTTCACTATTGCAAAGAAATAAGAAACTGAAGATTTGAACATAAAACTCATGAAAGTAGCAATTCTAACCCAAGTAATTTGTATGTGATTCCTACTCAGAAACGTGTGACGTATCAGAAGGAACCTTTGAAAAGTTAAAAATGTAGATGGAATAAATTATGCAGTGCGTAGGCTTCAAAATATCTTTAAAACGCAGCCTGCTCTGTAAACTTAGAAACATGGTGTTAATCACACATTCATCAAAGTAGTTAAGAAAATAAATACTTTATTGGGGGAAAAAAAGGGAATATTAAAAATG